TATATATATATATATATATATATATATATATATATATATATATATATTTTACACACACACCATTATATGTATGTGTGTAAAACTACCACCTCTATCATTTGAAAGAACTATGCTTGCCAGTTTTTGTATTGCTTCTAAATATACTGTAGTTTCCTCAGAAAGTTTGGGTGGCCACAGATTATTCCATGGAGACCAAGGCTACTATTGGCCCACCCCTGGCTCCGCCCATTGTGCCTGGCTGTACATAAAATTGCTGCCTCCACTCACCAGGATCTGTCACTCTGCACAGTTCAGACAAAATAAAAAATAAAAACTACAGTACCTCTGTTCTTCTCCACAGGTTAACTCCTACTCACTTGAATATCTTGCACCAAAAACATTAAGGTTTACTTGCATTCCCTTTTCAATTCCAGTCCAGATAAACACTCATCTCAAATTAAAAAAAAAACATTCACTGTTCAAATCCTTCAATGATAAGGATCATCATTATACAGCTTGTTGTCTTTTTATTTTAAGCAAAGGTTGGCAATAATGTTTGTGCTTCTGTCTGTGTGTGCGTGCGTGTTTTTCTGTTACCAAATATCTCATAAAGCACTGGACAAATTTTATGGAAACTTGCAGAAAGTTATCTTTGGAATTACACCTGCAGCTGACTGAGTTTTACAGCCAACCCAATTCAAGATGGCTGCCAACTGACCTTAAAAGTACATTAAAAGATCTTGCACTCAGTCAACTTTACAGATACTGACCTAAAACGTTATGTGGTAGTAGATGAGACTGATCCCCAATACAACTTTGAGCACTAACGGATTAAGATCTCTGTTTAAAATAATTGATTTAACCTGTACTTGACTATAATTTTACCAATAACTTTTGAGTCTATGCTCGATGTATTAGTCAAATGTCTCATAAACCTCTGTATGGATTTTAATAAAACTGTCAGGAAATAGCCACTGGATGAACATCTACAATAGATTACCTTTTGGAGCTGATTCATTTCAGATTGACCACCAGAGCTAATTAACCTTATTAAAAATGTCCAACTCTTTCAGATTTACAAATATTGAGCTCAAATTTGATGAAGTGGTAACTAAATGTCATTCATGACAAATACTCTGAGTGGGATATTTTGCAATTTTGCATGAGGTTGTGCATAGCATTATTTTCAGGGTTTGAACATTATTTTATATCCGAACTCTAGCATTAAAGGCAGTGTGCAATATGCATTCCTTTAAATAATGCTTCTGTGTTTTGCATTAACTGAATTTCCCTCATCTGCCTGTTTTTGGTTTGAAATCTTGGCTCTGATTTGGGCTTTCTTCAGACGCTTGTATCACACCCAAGCCTGCCATCAGGAGGATTGAGTTTTCAGACCACTTCCTTCACTTCCCCCTTGATCGAATTGAAAAGGTTATGTGCAGATGGATTTCTCCTGGAATTGGAATTCCAGACCCCGACTGACTCCTCTCAATGAGACCTCAGGAGGCCTCACCTTCCCTACTTCGCTCTTTGATTCAGTTTCATCATCACGGCTCACCGGTGGATTGACCTTCCTAATCCAGTCTCACTCTGCTCAGTTTATTGTGAATTTCCTGCACTAAATAATTACATTTTAGTTTTTTTCTTCCTGTTTTCCAGATTTCTTGAGATGTTTTGCTCTTTTGCTACATTGAACAGATAAATAACCATCATCAAATATTTATTTTGGCTCAAATATGACAGTCTATTAGAAGATTATCAACAATCTGAATGCTAAATCCAAAAAAAATGAGACAATAAATATGTTTTTTGTTGTTGACGCTCATTTTTCCAGTTGCTGCTCAAAGCCTTGTCAGAATCTTATTTTTCACTGTTTTTAGAATTTTTAGTGACTGAAAGTTAAATTAATCACTTTATTGTTTGCTGGTAAGCTGAGAGAATGACAGCTCGTATAGAGCAGAAATTATGAATTGCTTACAAAATGAAAAGAGACCCAAACGGTCCAGACTAAAAAAAAAAAAAAAAACACAGCTTCCCATTTTAATCTTAATTTGTCTTTTGACAAGGCATGATGTAAGATGAATTTAAAGCTCCATAAATTAAAACAGTGAGCTGAAAGTTGGAAAAGAAGACTCAAATTACTTTAAAGTTTGTGCATTAATGTTTTTCCAGCAGAAAATTCAGGATTGATGTCTCCACACTGGATTTGTTAAAAACAAATTCATCACTTTTCTCTATATCAACTCTTATGGTTCTTATCAAAGTAAATACGATTCCAGTGGCATAAAAAAATTACCAGATACCATAATATCCTGTTATTTTTTTACACAATCTCAAACCCGAAAACTGTTGAAATTAACAATTTTTTCATCAGGATGAAGTTTTTATTAAACTTTTTTTATTTTCTCACATTTAATGAAACTCGTTTTGCGTGGATTTATGTAAATTTCACCACCAATCGACCTGCTGCGTTTATTACTGTTTAATGAACTGTAAGATCATCAAACACGCTGGTTTATCTTTGGACACTTTGAATATATTATGTATAATGAAAATCAAAGAACTTGACTTTTATTCAGATGATAAACATTTGAGTTTAATAATAGCTGGTTGGTATTTATTCAATATTTATTTAGTGTTGATTTTGTGCAATCTGTTCTCACGGTTTTATTTGAACATTTGTGTCACTGTGAAAGAGCAAATCCAAATGATCAAAATTGGCATTATGTTCTATTAGATTTAAAAAAAAAACACATTTTGTAAGAAAAATTTGACACTTCAAACATTTACTGCATTGTTGTAACTGATGTAGTTGATCCTTTGTCAATATGCTGATGATTTACTTTCTATAAAATTTTTACATTAAAAAAACTAGTGCTACTGAAAGTATTTGGTCTTTGTTCTGTCAAATAATTATCTATACTTGGTACTATGTCATAATTAGAGACAGGACTGGAAGCTGGTAGTTGAAGCTATCATGGATGGGTGCCCCCTGGTGGTCAGCTGCAGAATAATTTTTACTTCCCACCCCTCCATGGAAACAGATGGAAAATGTTTCTGACTAAAATAATAAAAAATACACTTCAGGTACTACATTCAGCTGTTAATTTTTACTGAGGGCTGCATGATATCTCAGTTGGTAGAGTTGTTGTCTCTCACCAAGAAGGTCGCTGGTTCAAATCCCAGCCCAGTACTTTTCTGGGTGGAATTTGCATGCTCTCTTTGTGCAGTGGGTTTTCTCCAGGTAGTTCAGTTTCCTCCCACAAACCAAAAACATGCATGTTAGGCTGATTAGTAACTTTAAATTGTCCCTAAGAGTGAATGGTTGTTTGTCTCTGTGTCCCTGTGATGGACTTGTGTCCCCCGCCTCTCACACAGTGATAGCTCGACATGGGCACAAGTGACCCCCGTGACCCGAAAAGGATGAAGCGGGTAAAAGATAATGGATGGATGGAATTTTTACTTAGTCACATAGTTCTCACTTTGCTGCTGTATGCTCAAATGTGCATCTTTGAAAAATATTGTATACCTGGATTATTGAGCATGGACTTTTTTGATCTTTGAAAAATGTTTAGTTTCTATTATTTGAGGCTTTAAAAAAGTGTTATATTAATATAACTGACAGTGTTGAAGACTTAGGTGGACTTGTTGGACTTGTTGTAATGTGTTGTAGTTTGGCTCAAAAAAATACAACATGGTGTCACCCATGGAAACACTTATCTTTATTAATGTTGATGTTTTGTACCTTAGCAGCCATAGAGCACACACTTAAAAAAAGAAAGAGCAAGTATTTGTCCAGTATAAACTCATCGCTATCCAAACTAAAGCATGCTTTATTGTTTTACAGGCTTATAAAACAACTTTTTTTTTCTTCTAAAAATCAGCATACAAAAAACACTACACTAATTAATATCAAACCTCTACTCTTCTGCATGAGACCATTTGTTGAGTTTGTTTCTGCTTTCTCTATTGAACAATTTCCATGTTACTGTGCAAATGTCTATGCATCTGTAACTGGACTGATTAGATCAGGCAGACAAATGCATTTGCAGCCTCTCAGCATCACTGACATAAACAAAGTCTATCCTCAGTACACAGGTTCATTCCCATATTAACATGGACATTGTCTGGTCAGAAAAACAGCAACAAACTAAACAAACAGTCATGCTAAACAGCACAGGTTTAAAGATAGTGTTCTTTCACACCAGTATATTTTGCTAAAGAGTTTAAAAAGCTTGAAAAGTCATTTTGAAAACGACGTCTTGTTTGGCCAGTCGTTTGCTTATCCTGGATGCAAACTTCTGCTCTTTTCTCAGTACTCTGTTCCATGACTGTTGATACCTATTTGATAAACTATCACTTAAAAATGTCCAGATTATCCCTTTAAAACAGTTTATCTTTAAGGTGAAAGACTATAGTTTAGTCAACCTTGCGCTTGAGGCACTGTGCTTTCACTCAAGACCTGTTCTTAACTTTACCAAAGTCACACAGTTAGTATTTTTAATTTACTGTAACAAGTCAAATGCTTTGCTGCTAAGAATCACTTTGACGACTAGATGAAGTCAGATTTCCACTCATGCACAACATATTGGGGAAAATGTTAGCTACACAAAACAAAACATTAAAAGTGTTCCTCTAGAAACACTGTCCAGTGGATTCACTTTCTGTAATCTTTTAAAGACTTTGTTTCTTTTTCCTTGTGTCATCTCTCAGGGCAGAACCCATTCTGCAGCGAATAAAGGAGGACCGGACCCGCGTGGTGTCTCCGTCTTTTGACAACATCAAGTACGACACCTTTGAGATTGAAGAGTACCCCCTTTCTGCGCAGGGCTTCGACTGGGAGCTTTGGTGTCGTTACCTCAACCCACCAAAGTCCTGGTGGATTCTACGCAACCACACAGCTCCCATCAGGTAACGGGAAGATGCTCTGTAGAACTTCACTCTGAAACATTCAAGAACACTAAAATAAACGATTTTCATGGGAGAAGTGTGCGTTACAACAAAAGAAAAGCTGAAGTTAAACCTGCATTAATAATCATTTCACTCAAATCATAATGAGGGGGTTTTGATGAGATCGTTTTCTTGACATTAGAACTCTAATACCCATGATATTTGTGTACGTTCTAGTAAGTGTTGTATTGATTTTTCTAAATACAGATTAAATCTGGGGGATTCAGTTCAGTGTCACATCACAGGAAGAGAGCAATGACGCAGATTTTAAAGACTGAGTCTGTTGTTACATGTGCCGAGCACGGATGTCGCACATTTCTCGAAGTGGATAACAGAGCGTCAGTTTTTGATTGGAGGCCGCTTCAGACAATCAACCCATCAACCAAACTGAAACTGCTTACTCACCGGTGTCTGCTCTGCGTGTAGCAAGCAAACGCAATGTTTATAGACAAGAAGGCAAAACCTGTTGAAAATTATAACTAAGAAGGAGGGTGAATCGCTCCAACAATTCGTTTTTCCATATTCTTGCAGAATAACTTTTTCTCAACTTGGTCGCAACATTGGCTCCAAAGCACCACGTTAGACTTCTGTCTAACTGGAGAAATATGATCTCTTTCGGATCAAGTAAAGCTGGGAAAAAGGTGGCGTTTGATTGCAGCCTCTAAATCACTAAAAGCTGCCTGAGCCCTGTGGGATTTAAGACTGAATTTGTGAAGGACAGTTTTAATGAGTCTCTGAATATGCTTGTTTTAATACGTTGGTTTTATTCGTTACTTTGCTCTCTTGAGGCTTCAGAGCTGATAACTTATAATGGAACAGAATTATGATTAGGACATTAGAGCTGTTTATTTTTATCACCAGCCGCCAGTGAGGGCAGGGCAGTAACAGTTAAAACTTGTGTGTGTAAGTTAGTCTGTATGTGCAAAATATCGTAAATTGCCTAACCGATTTCAATGAAATACTTGAAATGTACCGTATTTTCCGCCGTACAATTCGCTCCGGCGTATAAGTTGCATCGATCCAAATATGTCTCATAAAGTGGAAAAAAAAACCATAAATAAGTCACTTTGCCGTATAAGTCGCATTTATTATGCATCACCGCTGATCCCTGGAAAATGTGGGCAGGTGTTGTGCCAAAAATCGATTGGCTGCCAAACGCACAGGAGGACTTTAACAAGAATTTAACAAGATTAACACTTAAAAACAATTATTTGTTTGCTCAAAAGTTGTGTCTAAGTTTAACTTTTCCTTAATAAATACACTTTAATTGTCAAAACAGCTTAATTTCACCTGGGCGCTGGTGTTCCTCCCCGTTCTGGCAGCGGAGCGGGTACGAAGGGGGGTAGAGGAACATCATATAAAAGCCTAGAGGGCCCTCTAGTGGCTGCAAATGGTAATGTTTACTGGTTCATGTCTATGAATGAACATTTAACTGTCAGTCAAAAACTGGGTTATAAATATGAGGAAAAAAACGTATGTTAAGCCCTATTCACATGGGAGTATTTTTACCTAGGGACCACATGCTATTTGTAATAATTACGGAGATTGTCTGTGTTGTTAATCCCGTGCAAATCGGCCATGTCAGTAATTTGTAAAGTAAAAATTCCCCCACAAATTACCTGCTATATTTTTCTGAACTCCTAGGTCCTGTGATAATACTAATCTAATGTGAATAGGCATCTCTGTGATCTGGACAGAAATGCACAGGATCCAATATTTAATGAGGCGTTTTTTTGTTTTTTAGAAAAATCATTTGGAAAAATATAGAACAAGGTTATTTTAAATTAACGCACTGCTCGCTTTGGCTTTTTTACTTTAATTTAATTTTTATGTATTTTTCTTTTTCGCTTCGGCTTTTATGAGCTGCTACTAACTTCACCTCAGATGACGGGAGGTGCCAAGATGTGCGCATGCAACTGACCCATCCATCCATACCTGCTTCTTCCTTTTCGGTTCGCAGGAGTCACTGGTGCCCATGTACCCTGGACAGGTCACAAGTCCATTTCAACCAGCGGGTCAGCGAACGTGCGGCCGCTCATGCGCACGGCCGGTGACAGCTGTCCATCTAAGCTTAACGTGGCTTTTTCTTTAAACCGGCCGGTCGGACCTGCCTCCTCCTCAACAAGTAGATTAACACAATTTTATATTGTGCATTCTTTAGTTTTCTTTGTGCTGATTCGTAAAACCACATCAAAGCCTGAGACCATCCGGGACCGCACATTAAACTCATTATTATGGACCGGCCCAGTCGTGGCAACACAGCGCGTTAACATTATAACCGGAAGATGTCCGTAAATTTCAGCTAAATCTCAGACTTTGGTTATCCCGTGCGAATGCGCCACATAAAAAGCAGACGTTGGGGAGATTACACTGGTGCTTAGGTAAAACTAATCCCGTGCGATTAGGGCTTTATTTGCTTCAGTGTATAATTGCAGGACTTGAAAATTTATGCAAAAATGTGTGACTTATACGCCGGAAAATACGATAATTGTTTTATGATTTTGGAGTCAACCTGATTTAAGATGTCTGCCACAGCAAAGTGATCCTATAAACACTAAAATTACAACAACTCAGTCAGTCTTTACAGAAAGTGAGCTAAAATTTGGAGTGGTAGTAGCTGAGCATTGACATCAACACAGACTTTGATGAAAACCTTGGCAGTCAACTGTTGGGAGTTCGTCTGTTAGCAAAATATCTCAGTAATGACTTGTTGGATTTCAATGGAACTTTGACATTAGTTGTACATCTACAACTGACTGACTTTTGAAGGTAGTCAAATTTATGATGGCCACCACACCTGTTTGACCTTAGCCAACACAGAAATGGCTACTTCTCAGTGAATTTTAAAGATATTGAGCTATTTTTTTATGTATAGTTGAGAGCAATTCACAAGATCATACTCCAGCATTAACAGTTCATGAGTGATCATGTAAGATATCAGATGGGATTGCTCATGATTTTATTGTCTAGGTTTACCCAAAACTGCCATGACAGTCTTTAATTCATAAATAAAACGTAGTGGTGCTGCCTTCAGGCTGGAGAGTTGATGTGTTGTTGGAGAGCCACGTTTCTTGATTTTTATTTATTTATTTCAGGGTCTTGGGTTGTTTGCTGATCTGTGTATCCCCCCCAAGAAAGATAAAATCACCCATGCAAGATTTTCTTTTGTTTTTTTGTATGTTTTTCAGCAGAGCTGTATTTCATTTTGATAAGCAGAGATGTATGGGAGTGACTGCATGAATACGAATGAGTTATTTTTCACTCCTCTTTAGTCTGATGTTGATTCCCCATCTCATCATTTGTAAGTCTAATGCCTTGTATAGGTTTATAATGAGATACTAAAGCTTTTCTTTACAGCATTAAATGTGAGGCATTTTAAATAGATCCTGGGGGTGTGATTCTCTAATTATAGTTTAGACTAAGGGTTTTCAGCATGGGTATCAAAGAATACTTTGCATTTAAACTACCGTATTGATATGCATTCAAAAACAATGTTTATTTATTTATTTAAATTTATTTTATTTTGTTCATTTCTGATTACCCTTTTAATTTTTAATTTTTTTCTTTTCTCCCTCTCTATTTTAGGAGTCCGGCCCTGATTGGTTGCTTTGTGGTGGACAGGAAATACTTTGAGGAGATTGGGCTGCTCGATGAGGGCATGGAAATTTATGGAGGAGAAAATGTTGAACTTGGCATCAGGGTAAGGCTGCATCTTATTCAGTGCACATCTGTGGTATAGCTGCATGCCAACATGAAAACAGGTTAGAAACCCCAATATTTATATACTTAAACATGTCTTGTACACGCAGTGATTTATGTCCCGTGTACGACTGCTGCGTCAGCCATTGACTGTGTTGGAATAAAATATACCTTCATGCACATTCAGCCTGCAAAAACACAAATGACCTTTCCTTTGACAGATGGGAGCTTTATCAGTCATCCACATTATTCATTTATTGTGAGTCAAGGAAACTGAGCTGATTACTAATGATGTAACAACAACCAAATGCTTCTGTTGCACAATGACTGAATTTGCGTGCATGTTGGACGGCTACCACAGCTAATCAATACCAGGTATCATAATGATCACAAAAGGTTGCAGACTGTGTTCTTTCAATAAATGCTGGGCCTTTGATACATAAATGTTTCACAAGTTTTAGAACATGTTCAGGAAATGTAAAAGCATGACGTCATGTCAGTTACACTTCCTGCGTATGTTCTCATCACTTCTCCCAAAGAAGAGCACTCTGCAGGAGCACAGAAGTGGCTGTAAATCAGTGCTGAGAAGTTTCCGGTATTTTAAGATTTGATTTGATTTGATGGATGCAGGAAACATTGGAGAGAAACTCAGGATCAGCATTTGATTTGATTTACACTCTCTGACAGAACGGCTTCAGATTCTGTGCATGCTTCTAGAAATCAATGAGCTGATCTGTGTGAGTGAGGTTGTTAGGTAATTGTTGTACTATGGCCTCTTCTGTCAAAATGAGCGTACACTACAGCAACACTATTATTGTCTATTATTATAGCGTTTTGTGTTTCTGTCACGCACCACCTTCCTACTACACTATTCAAAGAAAACCATGCAGGTAGACCTCAGAGCACAGTGAAACACAAAGCTTTGGTTAGGAAACAGAAAATCAGAACGAGCAATGCCATTTGGTTGGTTTTGATTTTTGGCAAAGTCAACTATTTTGGGGATTCAGGAATTTGCTAAGAACCTTTGTTCTACATCACCTTTAAACATTAATTTCCGTCAAAAATTATGTTTAGATATGTTTTTTTTTTTTTTGCAGACAAGTTATGAATGATTCTCACCTACCACTACATTAATAATAATAATAATAATAATAATAATAATAATAATAATAATAATAAGGTTAAAAAAACAACTGGACTTCTATTGTGACGCTGAAGAAATTTCACTTCCCATCTGGGAAGTTTTATCAATTCAAAAATGACATTTTAGAATTGTTGCAAGAACAATTTGCTGAAAACTCAACATAAAGTAGATAAACTAAACGATAAGGTATTTTTCAGATCCTGCGTCAAGTCTTTAGATTTTTTTTTCCCCCCGTTCCTTAAAAACATGATTTTTAGATACTGATCATTTCCTGAACAAAGCTTTTAGGTTCAGTACTTCTTATTCAGTTCAGTTTATTTATATAGTGCCAAGTCACAGAAGTGGTCTCATGGCACTGAACAGAACATTCATATACATAAATTCTAAGTTACTATACTTTTATACTATATACAGTACAGTAGTTCCTCGCTACTTCACGCTTCGTTTATCACGGTCTCGTTTTATCGCAGTTTTTCAAAATAAGATTGGACATGACGCATTGACTGATTGATGGATGAACCGCATGATCGGCATGTAATTTTTATTTATATTAAATAATTTTAAATTATTTAGCACCTGCTGCACATTTGTGCAGCTCAGAAGCTGCAGACAAAGCTTCCTCCTAGCCTGTGTGTAGTCCACAGCTCAAGTAGAAGCTTCCTCCTGCAGCGTGTCTCATCTCCGTTCTGCACCTGAGAAGTGGGCGTGGCCAAAAGCGCTTGTTGATGGCAAAGAGCAGCAGGAGGCAGAGAGCTGGAATCATGACATTCTGTGCCCTTTTGGTGCGTTCAGAGTTTAGAAACGTTTAGAACATTGCAAGAGTGTGGGCAGAGTTTATAACGCCTTTAAAAACAGGTATATATATATATATATATATATATATATATATATATATATATATATACTAAAATAAACTACTACTTACTACTACTACTACTACTGCTGCTGCTGCTACTTCGACTACTGTATCCCTACTTCATGGTTTTTCACTTATCACAGAGGGGCGTGGTCCCTAACACCCGTGATAAATGAGGGAACACTGTACTTTTATAGTATGTATATGGTATTAAAAAAATAAAAAGGAGTAATGAGCCTAAAAGCTATGTTCAAATGATTTATACTATATATATATCATATAAACTTATGGGGAGTGGTGGCGCAGAGGTTAAAGAAGGCCTCTGAGCAAGGCCTTCAACCCTCGCCAGGTGCCCTAGATGGCAGCTCTCTGCTCCTCACAGAGGGCTGTGGTAGCTCGGTGGTCTGTGGTTGCATCAGGAAGGACATGCAGTGTAACAACAATTGCCAAGTCTTGAGCTAAGTCAGATTATTTCACTGTGGCAACCCCTGAAGAAGGGATCAGCTGAAAGAAGACAGAAGAAGATACTATATTTACTTATGTTATACTTTTGTATTTTTTCTACACAAACTACACAATGTGCTGCCATGGTCAGGTCCAAGGACTGGACTGAAAGCAAATAAAAACAAAAGAACTTCTGCAGCGAGAGGTTAACTTTTATTATAACGTACTTAGACAATAATTGCTCTGAGTAAACCCCTTCTGTAGAGACTTATTAGCTGAATATTTGTTGATTTTTAGCACAATAAATGGATTATTCAGTATGGCATGAACGGGAAGCTCGGGAACAGCCAGTTTCTCAGCAGGGGAGAATGTTCCAGTCGTGACTCGTATAGTCTGGGTTTTTCTAAATTACATCAGATGTTCCCTCCAGCTGTTGGCTGCTCTGCTCTCATATCAGTTCTGTTTCTGCTCTGAAATTGGGCCTGGAGTCACACGCAGTGCTGAGAAACACAAGAAACAGTGGTCTTCTGCAGAAATCACAACATGGTCTGAAAAAAAATTTACCTGGTTGAGATGATGGGCACGTCAAAGTTCTGAGCTGCAGTATGCTCCAACATGTTCAACATAAGTTACATTAATGTTGTGCATAAAGTCAAGATTTTCATAGGCTAGAAATAAGTCATGTGCACACAGTTACCCAGCTGGTTTCTGACATACTGTATGTCAATTTATGAGTACTGGTAACTTACATGTAACATGTGTGAACTTATACATAACTTACGTGTTGTATATGTGTGGCTTATATCTAACTCATACTTTAACCTAATGTTCGGGCTGCTGTTTAATATTCTGTTTAATACACCACATTATTTTACATTACTTGTGTTTAGCGTGTATCTTAGATCTTTGTATACTGTTTCTTTTTATACTTTATATTTTTGCTATTTTGGGCTGTAACTGGGACCTTGAGTACACAATTTTGTTCCACCTCATGTACCACGTGTGATGTGAATGACAATAAAATAAACCCATTTGTAACTTACACCTACCAGCTCCGATATGTATTTTATCAGTTATGTATAGGACTCGTAATAACACATTACCTTTAAATATCCAATAAAATTTTATTAAAATCTTAAGGGATAGAAATATTTGTGGAACCTAAATTTAGAACTAAGGGATGGTCTCCTTCAATCCAAGGAATTAGATTATGGATTAATCTGGAGAGTGATGTTAAAAATGCAGATTAATGTCTATGTTTAAGATAATGATTAAAGTTGATTTGTTAAAAAAAAAAAAATTAAATAGCTTAATGTGTATTTGTATGAATTGTTGCTCAAGAAGGAGTTTTTGTTGTTGTTGTTGTTTTTTGTTATTTGAAGATTATTATTGTTTGAATTAATTTTTGGTTAAAAAAAAACATCAGCATGATTGCTTTTAATTATTATTTTTTTATTATTATTGTTTATTTTAATTTGTTGGCATACACTGATGCTAAACATCGCTGGGCCTTAAGGATTTGTGTCCCAGTCAGCTGCACATAACACCACTGGTGTTACTTCAGCTCAGACTGTGGTCTGCACTGGTTCAAATTAGCTTCAAACTTCATGTCTGCTGGTGCTTTTTAGAGTTCTGCTTAAGAGCTTTTATTCCTAAAGGTAGAATCTGCCAACATTACTGAACCTAAAATGCTCCTTTAAATTGCTTTCATACATTATGAAGTTTGTCTGCAAACTAAAGGGAACAAAACACAAAACAGAGCAGACATTTTACAATCTGAGAATTTCACCGAGCTCTTGTTAAATGTGGCAGCACTCGGTAAGCTCAGTGCAAAAGGGTTGAAAAGTGTTATTATGAACTTTTTTTTAACTGAAGCGTTCAAACAGGACTGTTCTTAATGCTGAACACGACATCAAGCAAGACAAATAATGTCTTTTTTTCAGTTAAATCACAACAAAACTAGAAAAATCAGTCAAAACAAGTTAAACTTTTGTGGATGTGGGATGAGATGTATACAGCCCCTTTTTTAAATTGATGATTATGTAAATAAGCTGTGATGATTTTGACAGAATCAGTTCTGCATTCTTACCTCAAGAGTATTTCTTTTACTCTAAATAATTCATTATGTGTTGAATTCAGTCCAAGGTTTTAGGCAGCAGTCAGTTTGTTCTATTTCCATCCTCTTCAAACCAAACAGCGGCGCCTTTTGTTATCACCAATGTGATTTTTTTCCCCCTTCCCATTTATTCCCTCTTCAGTTTTTGCTGAAGCGTTCTGTATTTCCAGTCCACATGCTTATATTGTGATAAGAACTGCTTTCATAAATCTTCAGCTCCGAGGCCTAATATAGTGTATTTTTAATACTCATTGTCTCAAGTCTTTTTTTTTTCTTTTCTTTATCTCAGCATCCCTTGATGGGATTTAAAATTCACATCTTCATTATTGACTTTCACATTATTTTATAAAAAATATTTTGAATGCACAAACTCAAGAGGGAGTCTTGTTCTACAATAATCTGAAAAATACATTTGTATAGTTGTAAATATGCTGTTTTGTT